AGCCTCCTAAGTAGTGAGGATTATAGGCGTTAACACCAGTAGCTGGCTTCTGTCTTGAGATCTTGTGCGTTTGTTCCCCTGGCCTGGATTTTCTCTCTGTCCTAGTTTCTTTATGTTTGGGTATGAGTAATTTTTTTAAGGAGCGACCAGAACTGAAGTTCATGTGCTTTCATGACATGCTCCTGTAGTTATTATTGCAGAACAGTTTAATAACAGGTTTCTTGCTTTTATAAGTAAACTATCAGACTTTTAGTACTTCATACTACATTGTACTTCCTTGTGCTTCCCAACCCTGAAACAGAGCTGGTATACAATAAACACTTGTTAAATTTTACTAGGTAATTTTAGGTTGTACAAGTAGATGTTTGATATAATTTAAATACTACAGGCATAGGAATGAATGGAAAATAGAAACTGAAAAGTGACCCAGTGTCATATTTTCAGTGTATATTAAAGAGAATGTTCTCAAATTAGTGGGAAAAGGCAAGGTTATGTAACAAGTGGCTTTGGAGCAATGGATTTTTTAAAAAGGCTTCCTACTAAACACTATGTAGTAAAGTAAAACAAATTCCAAAAAGATTGCAAAGAGTCAAAGAAGAAAATGTGGAAGTATGAAGCTACACACAGTTGGATATTTATGTAGTTTCAGGACAGGTAGCCTTTCTAGACGAAGCCCTGGAGTGAAACCATCGGCAAAGGGTAGAGGGGTGAGTCCCTGAGGCCCCTGTGTTAGTTCTGATGTTGCTGACAATTCACAGGTTTTCTGGCTTACAGCAGCATAGGTAAAACCTTAGGTTCTGGAGTCCAGAGTCTGACGTAGTTTTCTGGCTTGAACCGGGCTGTTGACAGGGCTTGTTCCTGCTGAGGCTCCAGTTAGAAGTGCCTGCTTTTCTTGTCACTGTCCCCATTACTCTGACTGTTGTAGTCATGTTTCTTTCTGGACCCTTTGGCCAAAACTGGGAGCAAGTTTTCTGCCTTTTTTTTTTTTTTTTGTGTTGGTCATGGGGCTTGAACTTAGGGCCTGGGCACTGTCTCTGAGCGCTCTTGCTCAAAGGTAGTACTCTACTACTTTGAGCCACAGCTTCACTTTTGGTTTTGTAGTGATTAATTGGAGATAAGAGTCTCATGGACTTTCTACCTGGGCTGGCTTTGAACCACAATCCTCAGATCTCAGCCTCCTGAGTAGCTAGGACTGCAGGCATGAGCCACCAGCATCTGGCAAGTTTTCTGCTTTTAAACTTGTATTTAGAGTAGCCCCACCTAGATTACCCAGAGTAATCTGCCATCTCAAGGCTAATACTCTTTTTTGCTTTTTAATTTTTATTGTTATGATAAAGGTGATATACAGAGGAATTATAGTTACATAAGTCAGGTATGAGAACATTTCTTTTTGAACAATGTTACCCCTTCCCTCATTCTCTCCTAGTTTTTCCCTTCTGTAGGGCTAATATTTTAATCACATCTGCAAAATTCCCAATTTAAGGCAACACATTGATATCTGAGCACTGGGATCTGGACCTCTTTGGTGGGGCTGCTATTTTGCTGACCACACCTCTCAAATGATTGAGAAGAAATTCTCTTTACAAAGAAAATTTTCTAATCGTTAAGAGGCTGAGCACATGTTAGCACATGGAAAAAAGATACTGATGGAGCCTGGTGCTGGTGGCTCATGCCTATAATCCTAGCTGCTTAGGAGGCTGAGATCTGAGGGTCACAGTTTAAAGCCAGCGGAGTAAGAAAGTCTGTGAGACTCTTATCTCCAATTAACCTGGAAGTGGAGCTGTGGTTCAAAGTGGTAGCCCGCTAGCCTTGAGCAAAAGTGCTAAGGGACAGCACCTAGGTCCTGAGTTCAAGCTCCACTACCGACAACAAACAAAAAGTTACAAATGGTTTTCAAAGAGAAGAGGTTCAGATAAACAGCATTACAATAATTGGGAGGACACAGCCAACATTGTGGCCACTTTCTCTTGTTAAATTAGCAGAGACTGGCAGACTGCTGGGCTTGCTGTGCTTTGGCAGTGTTGACGGGTGCTTCTTGATCTGTACTTCTGTCCCAGACATTCCATGTGCAGGAGTTTGTCCTCAGGAGGTTATCAGGATGTGCATGAGTGTTTGTCTCTGCAGATGTTTTTGCCATCTTGGTAATCACAGGCAATTCCAGACGAACATTTCATAGTCATTATTGGTTAGACTCATTATGTTGCAGCCTTGTGGTGGTAGGGTGTAAATTAGAGTTGACATGACCCAGGGAATGAAGTAACTCGAGCTTATCTCTAGTCCTGGAATCTGAACTCAGGGTCTGATGTTTGCCATGTCCCCAGCCTGGTTTCTGCGGTTTTAAAAACCTTAAAATTTGAAGTTTGGTGCTGGCGCCTCAGAGATTGGGAGGGTCACAGTTCCCGGTTAGCTCAGGCAAAAAGTACCTGCTTGTAGTGGTGTGGGCTTGTTGTCATAGCTGTGTGGGAGGCCGATGGTTGGAAGGATTATGGCTCTAGGTCAGTCCAGGCAAGAAGGTTCACAAGACTCCCTGTCAGTGGTGGAAGCTGAGGACACTGGCGCAGGCCTGTCATCTAGCCACTGGGGAAGCAAAAGAGGGATTGAGGTCCGGGTACAGGCTGGGAGAAGAGTGAGACTTCACCTCCAGAATCACCACTGTGCAAAAGGCTGGAGGTGGGGCACTAGCCCAGTGAAGCCCTGAATTCAAGCTCTAGTACCCCCCAGAAAAGGAGACAGGACAACTTTTAAAAAGTTAAAAAAATCATGGGGCTGGGAAGGTGGCTTAGTGGTAGAGTGCTTGCCTCGCATGCACGAGGCCCTGGGTTTGATTCCTCAGCACCACACAAGCAGAAAAAGCTGGAAGTGCCACTGTGTCTCAAGTGGTAGAGTGCTAGCCTTGAGCTAAAGAGCTGAGGGACAGCGCCCAGGCCCAGAGTTCAGGCTCCACGACCAGAAAAAAAAAAGTTCTTAGGTAGTTGTTCGAAGAAGTTACAGTCCCATAAGTAAGGTTGTGAGTAAGGTGCTCCTGCTTGATGCTACGCCCCCTTCAATCTCCCCATCCCCCCTTCTCATCCCTATTCTCAAGTTCTGCAGTCGAGTTTTGCATAATGTACAGTGAATATTCATTACTGCATTTGCTCACCCTCCCTCCGTTGTGTGCCCCCCATCTGCCCTCCTTCCCCAAACATGTTTCCACTTCCTCCTTCTTCTTCTTCTTCTTTTTTTTTTTTTTTGGGTCAGGTCGTGGGGCCTGAACTCTGGGCCTGGGCGCTGTCCCTCAGCTCTTCAGCTCAAGGCTAGCACTCTACCACTTGAGCCACAGCGCCACTTCTGGCTTTTTTCTTTTTGCTTATGTGGTGCTGAGGAATCAAACCCAGGGCCTCATGCATGCAAGGCAAGCGCTCTACCACTGAGCCACCTTCCCAACCCCTTCCTTCTTATTTTTAAACAATTGCAGATTTTCAAGAAGTTGCAGATAAAAATACAGGGAAGTCTGTATACTCTTTCCTCATGTTAACACTTTCAAATTTTTTTATGCTGCATGCATTCTCTTTGTGTATCAGACTATATAAAGTAAATAAATGATGAAGCTGAAGAATTACGTAATGAGATGGGGACATAGTCATGAAGGATTACTAAGTAAAGAAGATAAGATTTCCTTTAAAAACAGAAGACATTCTCTAATTTCTCTGTAGACAACTGGGCCTAATCCGTGCTTGCCTTTGAAATGCCTCGGCGAGGTCCCACAGCAGAACATCACAGCGGTTCTCCCTGACATCGGATGTTAGTGCGTCAGCAAGCCGGGCTTGGTTTAGTTCATGTACCTGGAAGTGAGGCAGGCGTTCAGCTCGGACTGGCAGCTCTGGGATGCCACTGCTCACCTGTTCTTTCCATCTGTGCCCCGCCACCTTCAGGGTGGCTGGGTTTCCCAGGCATGCAT